GTCAAGTTTAATCTAAGGATATAAAATAGAAATAGTGTACCATCCATGAAACGCTAAAATAACCACTTGATTTTCTACTCTCCAGTGGTAACATCAATCAAAATGGATCCCAAAAGAGCAGTAATGCATAATATTTAATTTCTAACCTGGTCTTTAGCGGCTAGGCATTTCCCACGCAATCGAGAAATGCACGAGGATAGGCGCTTCGTTTTTCAAATCTTACCGTTTTCAACCCAAGCGGAGGATTTAAGCCATGGTTGCACGAACCACTCATTGTTCTCCCTTATCACTTTCGTGATGTAACCAAATTTCTTCATGCAATCACGAATGCTCTTTCAATGTCTTAAAATGAAAGTGGTCGCCGTTAAGCAACTTTCAGGCTAAAGTCATTTAAAACTATCTAATTAAACGCTGAAGAAGTTTGCCTTGAAATGCAACAGAACGTGCTCTCATGATACGAAAGGAATGTAAGACATGGGAAACGAGGCCACGCTATGCTGCACTTTTCTCTTCCGATTTTCCGTTCTATACCGCCACCAGTACGCCAGTTATCACATACCCAGTCCTCTTGCAATAATTTACATTTAGTCGAATGCACAAATTTTGCCTTTAGGATAATCGTAAGGCAGTTCATACAATCATGTACAAGGTACTGATTATAACCTATGCATACATATGACTATTAGTGCATTTCCTCCCATTCGATCTACCTTCTTCAAAAGCGAAGGCGTCACATATATGTGACGTGCGAGTTCAGGTAATAAAATCGTGTCAAGGGAACAATGGTGGAAGTGGAAAGTTAAGATCAACAAAAAGCAAAATAACCTTTCCCTTTCTATACTCAGCCACGTACCTTCCGATCTAAAAGCCTGAAACACGAGGAGACTTCTCAGTGCGGCAGCATTATTCATGTGCAGCATTTGTGGTAGCCTCAAAAATAATGAATTTTTGTATTCAGAAGCGGATGCACTGTGCTAATTCTTTACACAAAAGATGGTGCGTCATGCGCAGTTCCACCAAAGGTTAGTTTGTGTGGACCATGTAAGGTGTACGCGCACATACAAATGCGCCTTCTGTAGGGTGGAAAACCACCACTTACGGAATCGCCAATAGCAATTCGCCTTTAGCTATCGTCATCAAGACGTCGGCATCATATAAATGACACGCGGGTGCAAGATTGCGTTTCGCATTGTCGCACCGTGCTTGTAGTAGATGTTCACTGGATCGGATTTGATGCCTTCCTCTCCTACCATCTTGATTGAGGCTATGACCCAAATCCTTGGAGAATTTATGTACATGGTACAAAATGAGGCCCTATACTTACTTATGGCATCATCGGTACTAATACTGGTAACTATAGCAGCAGGCAGCATACCTTATATCACATTCGCATTGATCGACATCCGCAGCAATTACTCAACCAGATATCCCTGGTGAGGTCAAGCGGACAACTTTGTGTGGAAACACCTGACGTATGTACTAAGGGGAAAGACTAGTTACTTATTGTATTATCCTTCAAGTGAATAATATGTGATTAAGGGTGCCAGGGACGAA